GTGCTGTACGTCGACAACAAGGCAACCATTGCCTTGTGTGAGGAGCACAGACTGGAGCACAGGACGAAGCACATTGCTCTGCGCTACTTCCTTGCTCGAGAGCTGCAGCAGCGTGGTCAGCTTCGCCTGCGTTTCGTGGCCACTGAGGCCAACACTGCTGATGTGTTCACCAAGGCACTTCCGCCTCGTGACCATCAGCGCTTTTGCACTCTGCTAGGCCTTGTGCCCACTGGGCCTCACTTGCTTACCTCTTGACCTTGCTTGTACTGCTGCATATATATATCCTTGCTCTTACTTGTTTAGCACTGTTATATATATATGCTCTGCTGCATGTGAACTGGCCTTGTGGCCTTGACCTTGTGCTCGGAATTTTTGTGGTATCCTTGAGATCCACCCTGAGCTTGCTTTGCTTTGCTTTGCTTTGCTTGACTGGTCTTGTGACCCCTTGCTCTCCCCCACTTTGCCTATGGGGGTGTGTCAGATGATTATATTACTGATGCATATATTTAGGCTGTAGTGGGGTAGCCCATAGGGGGTACAACCCAATTAGGGTTGGTACTTGTACTTGTTTCATTTCATAGTGCACTCATTCCTCGCCTCTATCTCAACAGCGCAGTGACATGTTGTGCCCAGGCCTATCCTCGCACAGATTCAGGCCAGCAAACGCACAAACATGCCCCACGAGCTGCATGGTTGTGCTAACGAGATGAAATCAGTTCCTATGGCTAGGTAATAGGATGTATTAGAGAACTGTGTGAAGAAATAGTGGTAAAAAGGGCATCTAAATATTGGCGCAGTGACATGTTTGTCAGAGGTCCACTGGTGATCCCCGATCGATCCTAGGGAAGGGTTACAGGCACATTTGCCTGGGGGGTTATGGGCGCACTGACCCGCTACTGAAACAAGCCCTTTTATCCCAATGGTCTAGTGGTTGGGATTCTGAGAATGTTGCGCACAGGCCTATCCTCGCACAGATTCAGGTCAGCAAACGCACAAACATGCACCACGAGCTGCATAGTTGTGCTAACGAGATGAAATCAGTTCCTATGGCTAGGTAATAGAATTTAGTAGAAAACTGTGTGAAGAAATAGTGGTAAAAAAAGCATCCAGACGTTGGCGCAGTGACATGCTGCGCCCAGGCCTATCCTCGCACAGATTCAGGCCAGCAAACGCACAAACATGCGCCACGAGCTGCGTAGTTTGTGCTAACGAGATGAAATGAGTTCCTATGGCTAGGTGATAGGATGTTGTAGAGAACTGTGTCAAGAAATAGTGGTAAAAAAAGCATCCAAACGTTGGCGCAGTGACATGTTGCGCACAGGCCTATCCTCGCACAGATTCAGGCCAGCAAACGCACAAATATGCGCCACGAGCTGCGTAGTTGTGCTAACGAGATGAAATCAGTTCCTATGAGTAGGGAATAGGATGTAGTAGAGAACTGTGTGAAGAAATAGTGGTAAAAAAGGCATCCAAACGTTGGCGTAGTGACATGTTGCGCACAGGCCTATCCTCGCACAGATTCGGGCCAGCAAACCCACAAACATACGCCACGAGCTGCGTAGTTTTGCTAACGAGATGAAATCACTTCATATGGCTAGATTATAAGATGTAGTAGAGAACTGTGTGAAGAAATAGTGGTAAAACAAGCATCTAGACGTTGGCGCAATGACATGTTGCGCAATGGCCTATCCTCACATAGATTCAGGCCAGCAAACGCACAAACATGCGCCACGAGCTGCGTAGTTGTGCTAACGAGATGAAATCAGTTCCTATGGCTAGATAATAGGATGTAGTAGAGAAATGTGTGAAGAAATAGTGGTAAAAAGGGCATTCAGACGTTGGCGCACTGACATGTTGCGCATAACCATCTAATATAGAAATATGTTGTGTCAACCAATTGTGAAGGGAGAGCCCTGCGATACCGTAAGCCTCCGGATAGAAGCGCAGGCCTCGGATAAGCGCCGGCGCTTATAAAAGGATGAGGGCGCTTATATCCGCTCCTCGATTATAAGCGCATGCTTCGAGCCTTACGGATTATAAGCGCACCCCTACTACCCTACACATTATAAGCGCACCCCTACTACCCTACACATTATAAGCGCCACCATTTAAAAACTACATTTTTAAGTTTTACGCTGTTACAATTAGTATCCTACGTTTTCTCTTAATTGTCAGAATCCCAACCACTAGACCATTGGGATAAAAGGGCTTGTTTCAGTAGCGGGTCAGTGCGCCCATAACCCCCCAGGCAAACGCGCCTGTAACCCTCTCCAGGATCGATCGGGCATCCACAGTGCAGATCTACTGACACCCCCCCACACTGGGAGGCCCAGGACTAAGCACAGCGGCACCGGCCTACATGTGCATACACCGGGAATCGAACCCGAGACCGCTCTGATACCATGTCAGAATCCCAACCACTAGACCATTGGGATAAAAGGGCTTGTTTCAGTAGCGGGTCAGTGCGCCCATAACCCCCCAGGCAAACGCGCCTGTAACCCTCTCCAGGATCGATCGGGCATCCACAGTGCAGATCTACTGACATTAATATCTGACTACATATTCGCATTTTCTACATTTTCTATCACATTTTCACGTCCTACACATTTCTACTTTACCCACAACCTATGCATCCTCCTCAGCAGTGGCAGTGCCTTCGTCGGCGGTCTCACCGTCCGACTCTGGCTCGTCTACGTTGTTGCAGCAGAATCCATCTGCTGCAATCTCGTCGTCAAGATCCACTTCGCCTTTGGCGGCATCCCGCCGGTGCTGCAGGCAGAGACCGTCCTGAGACCCGTCCAAGGCGTTACTGATGCCGCACGTCAGAAACGAGTGCTCAATCAACTCCTTGGGCACCGCCTTCCAGGCCTTGGAGATCCACTTGAGCGTCAGCTCAGGTGGTGGCTTGCGGATGTTGCCTGCCACACGTTGAAAGATTCATCAGTTAGAACAGGGTCAATAATTGAAAAACAGTCCTAAATCTTAAATCTCACCTCTTTCAGTCAGGCAGTCAACACCCTCGCTCTCGAACCATTGCTGGTACTGTTGTCGCACAGCTGCTTTGAAGGAGCGGTTCATTGCGACGTCCAACGGCTGCACCTCCGATGTGCAGCCAGCTGGTATGACGGCCGGCACGATACGCAGCTCGCCGAATTTCGCCCTCACTTGACCAGTCAGGTGCCCGCGGTAGGAGTCAAGCACCAACATCGCCCTCCTGCTGCGCACTCCGAACCTCGGGTTGACGTACGGGCCCACCGTACCGTCGAGCCACGCGAGGACGCCTTCCGCGTCCATCCAACCGTTGGGATGTGCGGCGACCACGACATCTGCACATCCACACAACGTTGAGATTGACATAAAAAAAAAAAAAACACATGCAAATCCTACCGGGACTGCACACGCTGCTCGGCTTACCGGAGGGGAAATTCCCCTTTGGAACTGTCTTGCGCTTAAAGAACACCCAGGGCTTGAGCTTCTCGCCGCTGGCGGTGCAGGCGAGCATCACCGTCACGCGTTCCTTTTGATAGCCGCCGCTGCGGATGGGCACGGAGCGGACCCCCACCTCCTCGACAGTGCGTTCAGCTGGCATTTCGAGCCACAGCGGGGTCTGATCCGCATTTATGATCCAGCGGTTGTCGATTCCGTACTGTCGGCGGGTGTGTCGCACGAACTTCCAGAAGTTTCGCACTTGCGTCTCGCACTCTGGAAGGGACGGGGAGGCAGAAACCATAAAAAAACATTAACTATTGACCGGTTGGCAAAGGGGATAAACAAGAGCGAATACAACACGCCCATGTCAGAACATATAGCTTTTGCATATTGTGTAGGCTATAGTGGGGTAGCCCATGAGGGGTACAACCCAATTACGGTTAGTACTTGTACTCACTTCATTCATAATTCATTCATTCATTGCTCAACTCTTCTCATGGTATCGAGCAGGTTCCCCTGTGGGAGCTGTGCCTAGGGCCCACCACTTCGAAAATAATTTTTTTTTCCTGCCCGAAGCGCGCTCCTCCCGAGTCGCGCCTCGGGCTATTACCTCGACGAGCCGCCCTAGCGGCCTTCCCTCCCCTAGCGGCCCCGCCGCCCTACTGTCGCGGCCCCTGCCGCCCTACTGTCGCGGCCTCGCCGCCCTACTGTCGCGGCCCCGCCGCCCCACTTCGCGGCCCCGCTGCCCTGCTCTACCGGCCCCGCCGCCCTACTGTCGCGGCCCCGCCGCCCGTCTACTGTCGCGGCCCCGCCGCCCTACTGTCGCGGCCCCGCCGTCCTACTGTCGCGGCCCCGCCGCCCTACTCTAACGGCCCCGCCGCCCTACTCTAACGGCCCCGCCGCCCTACTCTCACGGCCCCGCCGCCCGTCTGCCGCGGCCCCGCCGTCCTACACCTGCGGCCCCGCCGCCCTCCTTCACGGGCCCCGCCGCCCTACTCTATCGGCCCCGCCGCCCTACTGTCGTGGCCCCGCCGCCCTACACTTGCGGCCCCGCCGCCCTACTGTCGCGGCCCCGCCGCCCTACACCTGCGGCCCCGCCGCCCTACACCTGCGGCCCCGCCGCCCTACACCTGCGGCCCCGCCGCCCTACACCTGCGCCCCCGCCGCCCTACACCTGCGGCCCCGCCGCCCTACACCTGCGGCCCCGCCGCCCTACACCTACGGCCCTGCCGCTCGTCTGCTGCGGCCCCGCCGCTCTCCCCTCCTGCCGCGTCGCCCGAGCCGCCGACCGCCGCACCACCCTGCAGCGCGCACCCGAGCCGCCGACCGCCGCGCCGCCCTGTACCAGAGCAGCCGAGCCGCCGTGCAGCCGAGCCGCCGAGCCACCGAGCCGCCCAGCAGCCGAGCCGCCTAGCAGCCGAGTCGCCGAGCCCAGCAGCCGAGCCGCCCCGCAGCCGAGCCGCCGAGCCGCCCTACAGCCGAGCCGCCCGACCTGCCCTGTCCGGTGAGCACAGCCCCACTGTCACTGCGTGCCCTTCCCCTACTGCTTGCCCTGCTAGTCTCCCGTCGTCATGGCTACCCCTAGTGTCCTCGCTTTTGACGCTGAGGGTCGAGCCATCGACTTTGAGGTCTGGGTCGACGACCTACAGCTGTTCTTACAGTGCGATAGGGCGGACGGTCTTTCTCTCTTTGACCTCACCTCTGGCGCCTCTCCTGCCCCTGCTGCTGATGCTGACCCCACTGTTCGCTCTCAGTGGGCCACCCGCGATGCTGCTACACGTCTTGCTGTGCATCGCCACCTGCCTACCACTGAGCGCGCGCACTTTAGTCAGTGCAAGAGTGCTCAGACCTTGTACGACGCTGTAGTTGCGCGTTACTCTTCCGCTGCCACTGCTGCACTGAGCCGCCTCATGCTACCGTACCTCTTTCCTGACCTTGCTGCCTTTCCCACAGTCGCTGACCTCATTACGCACCTCCGCACTAGTGACACTCGCTACCGCGCCGCGCTTCCTGCTGAACTCTGCGCCAAGAAGCCTCCCCCCATGTAAATCACTCTCTATTACATCGTCACACGCCTCCCTGACTCCCTTCGCGTAGTCAGGGACCACTTCCTCTCAGTCTGTCCCACCACTCTCACTGTTGACCTCCTCGAGAAGGCCCTCCTGGCGGCGGAGAAGAGCATCGTCGCTGTAGGAGCCTCTCGTGGTGACCCGCGCACCCCCATCTTTGAGGGGTGTTCTCCTTCCCCCCTGCTGCCCTCTGTTGCCTCTGCTGCTGCGGCCGACCTACTTGGTCTTGAGTCGGTCGGCGCGGCGTCTGCCCCTAGCGGGAGACGCCGCCCTGGCAAGGGCAAGGGGAGCAAGGGCACGGGTGGAGCTGGCGGGGGCGGTGGCGGTGGCAGTGGAGGCGGCGAAGGGAGTGGGGGTGGTGGTGGGAGTGGTGGCGGGGGTGGTGGTGGTGGTGGCGGCAGCGGAGGCGGAGGCGGTGGCGGCGGTAGCGGTGGGAGCGGAGGCGGCGGTGGTGGCGGAGGTGGAGGCGGCGGTGGCGGAGGGGGTGGAGCTGATCGGGATGGTGCCCCACAGCGGAGCGGCACTAGTGGTGGTCAGTGCCAGCAGGAGCAGCAGCAGCAGCGCTCTCGGGACATCCCCCCGCCTCAGCAGCTCCGTGAGTGGTACACGCAGCGTCAGCATGGTGGGGGTTTTGGTCCGTGCACCTACGTCCTTCACTCCGGCGACCGCGCGGGTGAGCAGTGTGGGGGTGCCCACCCCACCCAGCGCTGCTTTGGCCGCCTGACGGACGCTTGGCGTCAGCAGTTCCCGGAGGCTAGTGAGATTCCCCGCTGGGGAGAGCTGTCTAGGGCTGGCGTAGCTATCTTTGATCTTGACTTTGATGCTATCCTTGCTGCCATGTATGCTGTGACTATTAGTGATGAGGGTGACTGTTACCGGTGTTTCCCGCCCGACCCGGGCATTGGTACTGCTGCGCTAGGTGCTTGTGAGGTTGCTGCTCTAGGTGCCCGCGCGTCTGCGCCCTCAGGTACTAGTGAGGCTGCGCTCTCAGGTACCGCGTCGGCTTCGGCCTCCCTCACCTTCACACTTGACTCAGGGGCTTCTCGCTCCTTCTTTCGTGACCGCACCACACTCACGCCGCTTGGTCGGCCGGTTGCAGTCTCCCTGGCCGACCCCTCTGGGGGTCCTGTCCTCTCTCACTTCTCCACTGTCCTCCCATGTCCAGCTGCCCCCTCGGGCACCTTGTCTGGTCTGTACCTCCCCTCGTTCTCTACGAACTTGGTGAGTGGTGCTGACCTGCAGGATGCGGGGGTTCACCAGTTTACTCCTGCGAGTCAGCGGGTGACCCACTGCTCGGACGCCTGCACCGGCCGACACCAGGCCACGTTTTCACGTCGGCCGGGGTCGAGCCTCTACACCCTGACCACTGAGTCTCCTCCTGTCCCTGCGTCTGGCCAGATAGCTGCGTCGGGTCAGGTGTTTGCTGCTGCGTCCAGGTCTGGTCCTCAGTCTGCCCCCTGCTCGTGTCGCCTCCTGTCTCACGAGACTCTCCTATGGCACCATCATCTTGGCCACCCCTCCCTGCCTCGTCTTCGGGGCATGGCTTCCCGTATCCTTGTCTCTGGTCTTCCCCAGTCCCTCCCTCCCCTTCCTTCGGGGCCTGGACCTTCCTGTGTCCCCTGTGTTGAGGGGCGCCTCCGGGCTGCCCCTCACTCCTCTCCGTTTCCCTAGACAGAGCCTCCGCTGCAGACGCTTCACATGGACGTGTGGGGCCCGGCCCGCGTCCGTGGACAGGGTCACCAGCGCTACTTCCTGCTGGTGGTTGACGACTACTCGCGTTACACCACAGTCTTCCCCTTGCGCAGCAAGGGTGATGTCACTGAGGTGTTGATCGACTGGATCCGCGCAGCTCGTCTCCAGCTCAGGAGGAGCTTCGGCTCGGACTTTCCTATTCTGCGTCTGCACTCTGACCGGGGTGGAGAGTTCTCCTCTGGCCTTCTGCGAGCCTACTGTCGTGCACGAGGCATCCGGCAGACCTTTACGCTTCCGGACTCTCCACAGCAAAATGGGATTGCTGAGCGCCGCATTGGCATGGTCATGGACGTTGCTCGTACATCCATGATGCATGCGGCTGCCCCCCATTTTCTGCGGCCGTTTGCGGTTCGGTACGCGGCGTATCAGATCAACCTTCACCCCAGGGTCTCCCGACCGGAGACCTCCCCAGCTCTGCTGTGGACGGGGAAGGTCGGCGATGCGGCTGCGTTCCGTGTCTGGGGATCTCGGGCGTTTGTCCGCGACTTGTCTGCGGACAAGCTGTCCCCTCGTGCTGCTCCCTGTGTCTTCCTAGGCTTCCCCCCTGACGCCCCAAGGTGGCAGTTCTACCACCCCTCCTCTCGTCGTGTTCTGTCCTCCCAGTACGTTACGTTCAACAAGTCAGTCCCCTTCTACTGTCTCTTCCCCTACCGCACTCCTTCCCTCCCCCCGCCGCCGCACTTCCTTGTGCCAGGTCCCCCCCCGGTAGACCCCCTCCCCCCTTAGGGTCCTGCCCCTTTGTGTGTGTCCCAGGTAGACGCAGTTGAGCCGGTCGAGGTTGCTTGTGACTCTGGTACTGCTACGGGTGCTGAGCTTGGGGGTGCTGACTCTGGGGGTGCTACGCGCGTGGGTGCTGAGCCTGGGTGTGCTGAGTCTTGGGGTGCTGAGCCTGGGGGTGCTGAGCCTGGGGGTGCTGAGTCTGGGTGTGCTGAGCCTGGGGGTGCTGAGTCTGGGGGTGCTACGTCAGGAGCTGCTGAGCCTGGGGGTGCTGCGTCTGGAGCTGGTGAGCCTGGAGGTGCGGAGCCTGGGGGTGCTGCGTCTTGTGCTACTGAGCCTGGAGGTTCTCTGGGTGCTTCGTCTCGGCGGGAGCCACTCTCTCCACACGAGCTGCGCGAGTGGTTTGCTCGCCGCTGGAGGCGTGCTCCTGGAGCTGGAGCTTCTTCGGCCGCTGAGGGTGCTGGCACCGCCGGTCCCGGAGCTGCTGGGCCTGCGGGTCCTACTGGGGCTGGAGCTGCTGAGGGTGTTGGTGCTGAGACTGCTGCTGTCTAACCTGGCGGTGGTCCTGCTGCTGGTGCTGCTGGAGGTCCTGCCGCTGGAGGTGCTGTTGGCGCTGGTGCTGCCGCTAGGGGTGCTGCTGCTGTCCCTGCTGTGTCTGGAGCTGTCGCACGGCCTCGGCCGTACTTCGTTCCGCTCCTTCAGCAGGTTCTTGGTGCTTCTCCTCCTGTCCAGTGTCCACCGCCTGTCCAGTCACAGTCAAAGTTAGAGCCCGCCTCACCACTGCGTGCTCCCTCTCCTTACACTGGTCCTACTGGAGGTCTTGCTGAGCATCGTGAGCCTGCGTCTTGTCCCGCGTCGCCTGTTCGTGCTGCTTGTGCTAGTGGTCGCGCTTCGCGTTAGCGTCCTCCTCCTGTCCCTGGCACGCACCGGATGTCTCTGCGTCCGTCCACTGCTCCTCTGCGTGCCCCTTTGCCTTCCCCTCCTGCGTCCTCTCTTCCTGCGCTTGCCGACCCGGAGTCGGACTCTCTTCGTGCTGCCAGTCCTACTGTCACGCGTCTTCTTGCTACTGTCGTCACTTACCCCTCTTTTGAGTCCACTGCTGCGTCTGCTCTTGTTGCTGAGCTCGTCGACTTTGCTGCTCGCTGTCGTCTCGACTACGCTGCTAGTCTTGTTGCTGAGTCTGCGTCTGTCTGTCCTCCGTCCGTCGGGGGTGAGTGTGCTCTTGGAACGGACGTCCTTGAGGACAGGCAGGAGGAGTTCCAGTGTCTGGCTGCTGCTTCACCTCATCTCGCGTCTGGACTACTTGGCCGTGAGGGAGACCCGGATGCACTGGACATCCCGACTCCGCGCTCTTACGCGGAGGCCGTAGAGGGTCCCTACTCCTCTCAGTGGCAGGCAGCTATGGATGCAGAGATGGCTTCCTGGAAGTCCACAGGCACCTACGTTGACGCGGTTCCCCCTCCTGGGGCGAACATCATCAGTGGCATGTGGATCTTCAGGGTGAAGCGGCCGCCGGGCTCTCCACCTGTCTTCAAGGCGCGGTACGTGGCGCGTGGCTTCAGTCAGCGGCAGGGAGTTGACTACTTTCAGACCTCTCTCCCACCCCGAAGATGACCACTCTTCGGGTGCTACTGCACATAGCCGCCTAGCGCGACTACGAGCTTCACTCTCTTGACTTCAGCACTGCGTTCTTGCAGGGTAGCCTGCACGAGGAGATCTGGTTGCGCCGTCCACCTGGCTTCACTGGGACTTTCCCTCCTGGCACCCAGTGGAGCCTCCGACGGCCAGTCTACGGTCTCCGCCAGGCACCGCGTGAGTGGCACGACACACTGAGGACTACGCTTGCGGCTCTTGGGTTTGCTCCCTCTAGTGCTGACCCGTCATTGTTCCTGCGCACCGACACTTCTCTGCCGCCGTTCTAAATCCTCGTGTACGTCGACGACTTAGTCTTTGCCACAGCTGACACTGCTGGACTCGCCTACGTGAAGTCGGAGCTGCAGAAGAGACACACGTGCACAGACCTGGGTGAACTGCGCAGCTACCTTGGCTTGCAGATCACCCGGGACAGAGCACGCCGCACCATTACCCTGACTCAGTCACACATGGTGCAGCAGGTCCTTCAGCGCTTCGGCTTCACGTACTCCTCGCCTCAGGCCACTTCTCTGTCTACTCGCCACTCGCTCTCGGCTCTGCCTTCGGATGAGTCCGTAAAGTCGAGTGGCCCGTACCCAGAGCTTGTTGGCTGCCTCATTTACCTGATGACCTGCACACGACCTGACTTCGCATTGCGCTACTTGTGCAGTACGTCGGGCATGGGGCTAGTGCTTGGAGGGCGGAGTCCAGTGGTCCTCACTGGGCACGCGGACGCTTCTTGGGCTGACGACCAGGCTACTCAGCGGTCGTCGCAGGGTTACACCTTCAGTCTTGGTTACGGCTCTGTTTCGTGGCGGGCTACTCGCTCGTCTTCTGTTCTTGGCTCGAGTTGTGAGGCTGAGATCTACGCCGGGGCCATGGCTGCACAGGAGCTTCGCTAGCTCACGTACTTGCTTACTGACCTCGGAGAGCCGCCTCGTTCTCCTCCAGTGCTGTACGTAGACAACAAGGCCATGCTGGCCTTGTGTCGGGAGCAGCGCCTGGAGCACAGAACGAAGCACATTGCACTCCGCTACTTTCTTGCTCGTGAGCTGCAGCAGCGTGATCAGTTGCGACTTGCGTACGTGGCCTCTGAGGCCAATACTGCTGATGTTTTCACCAAGGCACTTCCGCCTTGTGATTATCAGCGCTTCTGCACGCAGCTGGGACTTGTCCCATTCTTACCTCATTTGCTCACCTCTTGACCTTGCTTGTACTCTTGCACATATATATATACCTGCTCTTGCTTGTTTAGCCTTATATATATATGTCTACTCGTGCATGTGAACTGGCCTTGTGGCCTTGACCTTGTGCTCAGACTGTGTGGTGACTTTGTGATCCACCCTGAGCTTGTTTTGCTTTGCTTTGCTTGACTGGTCTTGTGACCCCTTGTTCTCCCCCACTTTGCCTATGGGGGTGTGTCAGAACATATAGATTTTGCATATTGTGTAGGCTATAGTGGGGTAGCCCATAAGGGGTACAACCTAATTAGGGTTAGTACTTGTACTCACTTCATTCATAGTTTATTCATTCATTGCTCAACTCTTCTCAGCCCACTCACCGGAGGATAGTTTCTGGCTGACACGGGTCTTAGCTCGGGTAGTGAGATTCCAGCGGCGCCGAAAACGCTCGGTCCACCTCTGAGATCCCGCCCACTTTACCTCAGGATGCAGGCTCTTCATCACCTCTCACGACCACTGCTGCAGGCGGCCGACCGACACTGCGAGGCACTTTTTCCGGGCGGCAAGTACTCGTGAGTAGACCTGGATCTCCATGTCGCAATACCACGATGACCGACCACGCCCGTGAAGACGCTTGCGAGCCCCATGTGCGCCCTCCAGCTCACCCTTCCGCGATTTCCATACTGCCAGGGACTTTTGGGAGATACCAGAGTCGCGTGCCATCTTCCGCATACTCACGGCACCGGACTCCAGCTGTGAAATCCAGTGCAGCTCCTCCTGAGAAGTATAGGAGTGCCGCTTGTGCCTTGAGCGCTTGCTCCTGGGAGACGGGGGGCGGGAATCACGATTCTGGGTGCAGGGGTGGGGCCTTTTTTTATTGGGCGGGGGAAGACTTTGGACAGGCAAGTCCTCGGGAAGACCGTTGGCCGCCCACCACTCAACATCGTCTTCGGCACCGGTGTCGGATTCGTCGTGCGGGCAGTCTTCCGGGTCTCCCCAATGTGGCGAAAGACCGGGACCGGTTTCATCTTCGTCGCTGCGCTCGGGCTCGTACTCGGGCTCGGAGATGTACGCATCGAAAGCAGAGTAGCCGCGAGGGAGAAGCTGCAGAATGGGCACACCGTTGATGACGACGATAGGCGGAGCGGGAGGAGCAGGAGGTGTCAGAATTATATTTATTATAACTGCATGTAGTTCTAGCTGTAGTGTAGTTATTAAATTTGTAGGTGGTGCACCTCTTCATGTGTTCCTTTGCTATATGTACTTCGAATGCTATAGTGAAAACACATTCTCCAATTTCTCTCTCACAACTCACTCGACATTGCTCCTAGGGGAAAACCCGCTCGATACCTAGTTAGGGCCTAGGCTACTAAGCCTAGGCCCCACCTT